TATATATATACATGCATGGTTTTGGGTTTTCATGTTTACAAATATAAAATTATATATTTCATATTTATTATTGTGATTTGGTTTAACTACTTAGATATGAAACAGATATATTTTCATATACATACTCATATGTTTCATTTTCTATTGTATTTGTGAAAATATTGTATTCTTAGTTTTTGGACTTAACAATAATCATATACATATTTTATTAAGTCTATATAATCATTGTGCAAAGTTTCAAAACATGGTTTAGCCTAAATGTCAAAATTCACATGTTTACATTTTCGTGTTTTGAACTATTTTGTAAAATGATGATTTTTTCACAAATGGGAAATACAATTTGGAAAATTCTTTTTGTAACATGTTCATTTACATGTTTATATACATTTCCCAAAGTTTTATTATTTTTGGACTTCATTTGTTATTTTTAATAATTTTCCAAAGTCTCAAAAATCAACTTTTAAAAACCAGTTTTCTGTAGTATCAGTTATCGGTCGACCGCACCGGTCGACCGCTCATATGTTCAGTCGACAGTTGTCGGTCGACTGGTGCGGTCGACCGAGAGCTTGAAATTTCCATCGGTCGACCGCACCGGTCGACCGTCGCTTGTCCAGTTCTGTTTTTTGGTTTTTTTGTTGCTCGTGGTCGACCGCACCGGTCGACCGCCGATATGACCGTTGTTTCCCAACGGCTATTTTCTGAGCTGATTTTTTGGGGGTTGTTTTTGTCATTTGCTTGGGGTTTTGGCTGAGATTTTGAGTGGGTATAAATACCCCATTGCTGTTCTCTTTCAAATTATCCAAGAAGTTTTTAAACAAGTGTTTAAACTTGTTTAGTGTTTGCTTAAGTTTGTTTTAAGAAGCTTTTAAGCATTTGAGTGTTTCGGTTTTGTGAATCAATTCCACAAGAGCTTGAGGAGATTATCTATTGAAGTTTGAGCTTCCAACTATCCTCCATCCATCTCTTGTTATCAATTGAGAAGTTTTCTAAACTCAAACTCTAGCTTTACATTTATATACTTGTTTGATTATCATTGTTCTTAAGCTAGATTTTATATTTGAGTTTAGTTGATTTGATTTTATTTACTCATTGTTACACACACTCATTTTGAGCTTATTGTATTTGCATACATAGTATATTAGGGTTGTGAGAGATTGTAACATTGAGTTGTGCTTAATTGAGTTCTCATCTATTGTAGAGAACAAATTTATATTTGTTACATTGAGAGTTGTGTAAGGTTTTCGGTGAGCTAGAAAACCAAGTGTGTTGTGAAGTTTTCGGTGAACTAGAAAACCGATTGTGAGGAGTGACGTTGATCGGTAAGCGTTGAAAACCGACACTGTGAGGTGTAAACGTTATTCGGGTGAGCGTAGAAAACCCAGTTATGATAGTGGATTTCTCCCCAGGAGTGGGGAACGGAGACGTAGGACGGAAGGTCCGAACTCCGTGATCATATCTTGTGTTTGAGTGTGCTTTGGCGTTTATTTATACTTGTGTTTATATTTCTTGTCGCCATTGTCATTAGCTCATTATTTGTATGATCCACTATCTAGTTCATATTGTTTATCCCTTGTGTTAGTTTTATATCCTTGCATATATCATTTTGTATATCTCTTTGGTAGGATATATCTTTTGTTGTTCATATTGCTTATCCTAGCTTATATATCTTATTGTATTTCATACTTGTTAGGATATTTTGTTAATTAGTTTTAATTGGTATTTTAATCGGATTAGATTAGCATAAGACCCTAATCACCCCCCTCTAGGGTCTAACACTAACTTTACATCATGCCAATTCAAATTCAAACCTTGGACACGGATTTAAAGGAAATTTAAAAATATATATATATTAGTATAACATGAGTCTAAATTTTGGCTCAGGTTGAAGATCTTCAACTTGTGAAGAGTACTTTAAAAACACAGAACAACTATCAATTCTTATAACTCCCAAACTCTCGTGGAGCTCAAGGGACTTTTAATTACCAACAGACTTGTTAAGTGAAACAATGACAAGCTCTGAATTACCTAATATTATTATTTGTGTGTACCCTCAAAGAGACATGAATTTTGTCCCTACACATATGTGAAGCATCCAAAAGAACATTATTACCCCTGGCATCATAATTTATGCCGGCTCGTTAACTTGTCACTACGGGTGGCTATAGGAAATTGACCACAGATGACATGAGCCAATATATACTCTCTAGTTAGTCACTTTCTCTGCACAGAGAACTTCAACCAAAAAGACTAACGTTCCTCTGATAGCAAAAATGTGAATGGCCCCTACAATAATTGAGTAACCCTCTTTCTCTCTTTTTTTCTTATAGCCCCCGAATAGATAAGAGTGGAAACAAAAGGAATTTTCAAAAGCAATGAAAGGGAAGTTGGAGATGATCATCAAGTGTCCTCACCGGGACTTTTAGCTCTGATAACTGGTCCAATCGGCTCAAAATTGGATCGGGTTGGGTTAGGTTGATTAAGACGCGCACATATAATTGAATTATTAAAGGTCGATACACTTTTCATATCAAATGCAAAGGATGATGTGGACCTATCGGGTGTCACGGCCGACAGGGGGTGCCATGAGCCACGTGGCTACGGCATGGTGGTCCCGATCGGTCTGGGGTAACGTGGTCCTGACAGCTGATCATGTGGTGCGGTAGAATGACACGTGGCGCTAGGCAATTGGACAGGTACATGTAGATTTTAAGCAGCGTTGGGACTTAATTTGCAGCTGTCGTTGAGTCCACATGTCTACAAGAGCAGTATGCATATTTGTAGCACATTGGCCAACTTGCTCTCAAGCGTTGTCCATATTCCTCTCTGTTAGATCTCTCTCAGTCACACAAATCAAAGAGTGAACCTCTGTATGTTTGTTTTTGTGTTATTTGTTCAATTCCTTTCGTCTCTTCTTTCAACTCCTTCTGCTAACAAAATTCGGACGAGACATTACTACTAACGGACTGCTAGATTTGTAGGGTTTTTTTTTTTTTTTTTAAGGAAGTCGAATATGTAGTTGAAATCTGAAACATTACTACTAATGAGTTTTTTTTTAAATGACCATTTTGCTCAATAATTAGCAAAACCGACCTCTTTTCGGCCAAGGTCGGTTTTGAAAAATTGGCTCTTCGAAACATTCGGGACTACTAGTCGTGGTCAGTAATTGGTCACTAAACCTAAGCCAGAGAACCCACGGGACTATTAGTCCTGTGGGTTTGTTATGACTCTACAAAACGTACGGTACGGGACTAGTAGTCCCGTACATTAAGCAAAAACTTTGTTTCTGCGTGCCCAGCAAATCCACGGGACTAGTAATCCCATGGATTTGCCGGGCTATATAAGGCCCAGCTGTGCCCCAAAACTTAGGGCACAACGATATCTCTCGTTCTCTCTTTCTCTCCCAGCCGAAACCCCCAAAGCCGATCGATCTCTCTCAAACCCAATCTCCCTCTCTCATTCTATTGATTCTCTCCCAACCCATCTCTTCCTCCCTCAAATTTCTCTCTCTTATCCTCTCCATAAACATTCTCTCCAAACCCTAATTGAGATCTTCCCCAAAGATCACTCCGGCATTGTTGAAATCCGACGTCGTTTAGTCTCTACGACGCCGACGAAATTCAAAACTTCATCAAGGTATAAATTTCTTATTGTTTTCGTAATTTTCTCTCTATTATTTAGTTAATATTATAGTTTAAAAGTAATTGTATATTTAATTATGATAATCAATATGAAAACAATCTAATTTACATATGATGAATTTTAATTCTTCAGTTAAAATGGCGAATGGAATACCAGTTATTTGTTTTTTCAATGGAAAACTGAGTGTTGGAATGAATAATATGCCTATACACGAAGGAGGATCTAGAAAAATATTCATGTTATCTAGAAATTATAATTTTAATTGAATGATGAAGCAAATATACAAAGTTACTAGAATTAATCATGTAGAAAATACCACTAAGGTATTTTGTAATTGTCTGATAAATGAAAAAAGAACAATTGTTGTAGAGATCGCTAATGATCAAGAATTGAGTGACATGATACAACTTGCGGAAAAGCAAATCTTAATTGAGTTGTTCATTAAAAATATTCCAATATCTGGGGTTGCCGAAGTTTCATATACTGATGGAGAGTTCTCCTGCATGCTTGAAAATCAAATCTCATTCTCTCAAAATGCCTTGCACTTAGAAAATGACTCGGGGTGCAATGTCAAGTGACGTGTTTCACAACGCGCCGAGTCATGTTTCAGTTAATTTACCGGTTGGTTCTATTATAGAAGAGGATGAGGATGCATATGCAGATGATGATTATGAAGATGTTGAAGAGGAAGAACGTCTTGATAGTATGCATTGTGTAATTGGAGGAACCGATGATGATGCCCGTTGGATGGATGAATATTTGTGTAAACTACGATTATGTAGAGTCTAAAGAACCGTTGCCAGAAGAGTTTCAAAATGAGGAGTGGATAAATGCTGAGCTCGTTGAGCTTGGTTCTAATTTCGATTGACCCGAAGATTTCACTTTCAAAAAAGGAGATCTTTTCGAGAATAAAGAAACCTTAGTTTACGCTATACGTGAATGGGCAATCAAGAGTCGGGTCAAATTCAAGCCAGTAAAAACCAATACAACTAGCTACCATGTAAAGTGCTACTTCAACGAGAAAGCTCAAGAAGAGTATACACGTGCTCAAGACGAGAAAAATTCAAAGTGTCCATGGAAGCTTAATGCAACTGTTATGAAAAAATCTAATGGGCAATTTATGATCTCTTGTTATTGCGGACTTCATATATGTTGCAATCCGGCTGTCAATGCCGATTATAAGGTAGAAACTTCTTCTTATATCTTGAAGCTAATTATGTCCGAAGTTAGGCGGGAACTTGATCTTACTCCAAGTCAGATAATTACAATGGTATAGAAGATGAGAAAAATAACTATATCCAAGTATAAAGCATATGATGCACAGAGGAAGGTGTTGACTAAAATCTTTGGAGATTGGGAGAAATCTTACGAATTACTTTCACAATATCTTGAAGCAATTAAGAGGAAAAATTCAGGTACCGAATATGAAATAGTGTCTAAAACAATCACGCCGGGAGTGGAGAGGTTCATGCGAGTATTTTGGGTATTTGGACCCGCTATCAAAGGGTTCTCTTTTTGTCTTCTACTCTTCAGCATCGATGACACCCATTTATATGGAAAGTACAAAGGAGTACTCTTGGTTGCGACCGATGTAGATGCAAATGGTGGGTTATTTCCAATAGCTTTCGTAGTTGTGGAGGTGGAGGATCCATCAAGTTGGAAGTGATTTTTAATGTATTTACAGATACATCCCTACTGTTTAAAGTTCAAGAACGATACTTTTATTACTGACCAGATGAAAGGAATTCCACGAGCCTTGCACGAGGGGTGGAGTGCACCACATCATCACTGGTATTGCTTGTGGCATATAAGAGATAATTTTTTAAAAAAAATACTGAGAGGTCAATTTACAAAATCTATTGTGGCAATCCGAGTGTACAGTTGACACACTGGTATATGAGTATTGTAGGGAGAAAATTAAATCCCTATCAGTTGAAGCACACAACTGGATTGAACTAAACTTGAAGCCGCAATACGAAATCGATGGACATTATATAGAGATGGTGGAGTGCGCTATTATATGACGACAACTAATTGCTCTAAAAGTTTCAATGGCATACTCAAGGGTGCCCGTACTATGCCAATTCAAGTCTTGGTTGCAATGAGATTTTATAGATTAAACGCATACTTTAATAAGAGATGTGGTGATGGTGCAAATTGGACGAGTAGGTACACTCTAAAAAATGAGAGTATTATGTAGAAAAGGATTGTGGCCGTAAGAACATGTAGAATTAAACCTTTCAACGATAATGAATGGGAGGTTAAAGATTCTGAAGGTACTTACACCGTCTATCTCTATGACCAGGAGTATAGTTGTACTTGTAATATACCATAATTACAAAAACTACCATGTGTACATGTTTTAGTGGCTAGTTCTAATCAGGATGGTGGCGCTAGATTGCCTTATGATCGGTATTGCTCAGCTTGGTATTCAATAAATCATTATCGAAAGGCTTATAAGGAGATTCTCCATCCTCCCAACGATACTCGTTATTGGTCGGATTATAATGGACCATGAATATTACCACCTCAATACAAAAAGACAAGTGGGACGACCTCGCTCCGTACGCATTAGAGGTACTATGGATCAAAGCCGGGAAGGAGTAGTGTCACAAATTAAATATGGACAATGTAATCAATTAGGTCATAATAGGTCTCGTTGTTCATCAAGAACAAGTAGATAGCAATTAATTGGTAATATGTTTTCTATTTCTATCTCTATTTTTTATTATTATAGTCTTATTGATTTGGCAGAAACTAATAAGTTAACAATTATATGTGCAGGTATATACACTATGCTTCCCGGGCCAGTTAGTGATGACGTCCTCTATGATCAGTCACGCCACCGTTCAGAGAGTATATCATTTACATTGGTAATGATTGATAAATTTTTAGTCATAAGTTTATAGTCACATATTACTTACTCACTGTTATATTTTTAATATATTTTTTTATTGTTATGTAGAGAGGACCAGAGTTAGTTATGATTGATCATAGCCCTGGACATACGCGTTGGCCACTTGAAGATCAGCGTATCATTGCTCTAGTAGCCCAAGCAGGTTTTCTCACATGCTCAAAATTATGGTGGATGAAGCTCGATTGTGTACTACTTAATACATTGATGGATAGGTGGAGACCAGAGACTAACACTTTCCATCTACGTGTCGGCGAGGCGACTATTACTCTCTAGGACATAGCAGTGATCCTTAGTCTCCGCATTGATGGCCCTTGTGTTATGGAGACTGATAGGCATGTGTGGCGCCGAGTCTGTAATGATTTGTTAGGACTATCTCTAGAGTCCTTACCTTGGTGATATATTAGATTGAAGTGTCTAAAAGAAAATTTCGCAAACCCCTTGCTAGAAGATGCATCCCAAGTCATGATCCAGCAGCATACTCGTGCATATATTTTGCACATGATCAGGACACTTCATTTTTCCGATTCAAGTAAACATAAAGTACATTTGAAGTACAACTTATTATTGTTATAATGCACTATCTGAAGATGTTTTTGCTATATTTTTACTCATTATTGTTATAAAATACGACTAAACGCATTTGCCATGTGATAGGTGGTTACCGCTTCTCCAAGACTTTGACAGGTGCGGGACATTATCATGGGGTAGTACTGTTTTAGCATACCTATATAGAGAAATATCGAAGGTTGCTTTTATGCAATATAAAGAGCTCAAAGGATGTTTGACATTGTTATAAGTTTGGGCATAGGAGAGATTGGTTTTGAGACTGAGATTATGCGAGACGCGAGATTTAGATGGATAGATTCCACTAGGATGCAGGTAAAAAATTTTAAATTTAATTAATTAAAATTTAATTTTAATTTTTAATTTTGGAACTAGAACATACCTTATATCATACATGCAGATGGAATCTCACTAAAGCATACGATGAGGCCCCGGCAAGACAGTTAGATTTCGACAGAGGAGAGCTCGATCGGATGAAAATTTAGGAGAACTCGAATTTGAATTTAAGTTATTTAATGCTACTGATATATTTTAAAGAGTTATTAATATATGGAATATTTTATAATTCGAGTGGCAGCCATACGCACTTTAACTACCTCGTCTACCACTGATTTGTATAAAGGGACACGATATATGGAGAGCCAGAGTTCCTCTCATATGTTTCAAAATTATGGAGATGCATGTGCCGAATCGTATGCTTAGACAGTTTGGTTTCTCACAACACGTTCCACAATATGTCAAAAAATATAGAGAAAGGCATTTAAGGGTAGGCTTCACATTGACTGGCGGATTGTGCATCATCCCTACATTGCTAGATGGAATAATTAGCATGGGAGCATTGTCGTGCAGCTTTATCCTCCGATGGAGGAAGTCGATTATATTAGATGGTATTGGGGGATTACCAGACGGTGGATAATCACTCAAACCATGCCTCTAGTCAACGAAATCGAGATACGCTCCCAACAAGCAAGATATGTACCAAGAAGTGTAGATGAGAGAGAATGGGTAAGTAAATTGCGCAAATTAGAATAGTTTTTTCAATCTCTTATTATCTTTTGGTTGTTATATATATAATTATCTTTTTCTGTAATTGTAGATAGACGCTATGGATGAGATAGAGGGGATTGCAAATGAGGGCATAGCTACCACCACAGGAGATTCAGTACATGTATTGGTATTGCATCGGATAGTGGCGAGGGTTCGTAGATCTCTTCATCAAAACTCATGAGGATCGGCATGAAGGTCGCAAGCATATGGCGCATGAGGAGAGGGTATATGCACGCCGATGAAGACGTGGTAGATCTTACACGCACGACAATGGAGCTGGTCCATCACAGCCCCACACACAACCAGAGAGCGAGCACATACAAGCTCAAGTCGAAGGAGGCCGCTGACGATCTGAACGGGTACGAAGAGGGAGAAAACGGGGGAGGGGCGGACTTTTAGGTTGTTAGCTTTTCTACTTAGACTATATATTGTCGTATGGATAGACTTGATACATTTGGATTTGTTTAGAGCATTTTGTCATATTTATATGTATATGATGTATCTATTGTGTTGTAATGTTATGAATTGATTAAATGTGTTCTTATCCAGTGTTTATTTCTTAAAGTTTATAACTTTTATAAATATTATACTGTATATCAATGTATACGAAGTGGATACTATATTTTTGCGCAAATTTTGATCAAAAAACAATGTATGAAGCAAAAGAGGCTTGTGTATGTTTTGTGCAGGTTTGAGTCTGCCCAGCAAATCCACGAGACTACTAGTCCATTGGATTTGCTGGGCGTCATGAGGGGTTTCTGCTTAACGTACGGGACTACTAGTCCCGTACATTTTGTGCACTGCTCAACAAACCCACGGGACTAGTAGTCCCGTGGGTTTTCTGGCTTAGGTTTATTGGCTAATTACTGGGCAGTAAACATACGGTACTAGTAGTCCCGTATGTTTCGAAGAGCCAAAATTTCAAAACCGACCTCTCTTTTTGGCCTGTTAGCCAAAAAAAGATCGGTTTTGCTAAATAATTAGCTAAACGGTCGGTTTTGCTAATTATCTAGCAAAAATGATCTTTTTTTTAATAAAAAAAAAAACTCCTACTACTAATAAGCTGCAGTCGATGTAACTTTTTTAACACACATTATCCGACTTGAAACAAAAGTACTTAATTTATACTGACATGACATGACATGACGTTCAATTTGATGAGTCGTCTCCTTATCCTTTTCTTTATCTTATTCTCTTTAATTATATTGTGAATCCATTTTCTCTCCTCAATAATTTTTTTGTCATTTTAAGAGCAATGGAAAAATTCATAGAGAAAAAGATTGATACGGTACCGACAAGTGTGACGGTGAACGCTTGTGATGGGCGTTTTCATGGGGCCAGCGAACTAATCAATTAAGATGACAATGATAAACATCGATCTATTGATCAATTGATTGATCTGTCATATTCGAGAAATACCCAGCAGTAAGATGTAGAGGACAACTGGGATGGGTTCAAAGCCTTTTCGGAATTTGAGTTATCTCCTAGTAGTCATGAAGTCATATTTTATTTAATCGATGGTTATAGCTAGCGAGATTAATAATTATGATACTAACTCCAAGTTGGACGATCGTATGTTAAGATTTAGTGGTAGCTTTAATTCCCAACGCTTGATACTTGAGACTCCGTGTACCTCGATATTAGAGAGGGGTAAAAGGGGTAACAAAACGCTTGTAAAGAGAAAACATAGTCGCTGAGGCCCATTTTTTGGATTGTTCGCAACATCTGAATATTTGGTAGATGGCCTATATTCAAGCAGCCGGAGAAATGGATTAGATTGGATAATTAGCAACACTATGAGAGGCCCATGTTAAGGCCCAAAGCCATATTTACAACACTCCGACGTAATGTGGGCCGTGGCTATTCTTCGTTTAATTATTTGTGGGCCTTGGTAAGTACAATATTTGTTTCATGGAGACTGAGCTTTAAGGATAAAGCCTCGGCCATTCAGTTATTTTCCAAAATCTTAAGTAGTGCGAATTACTACCTTCGATGAGTCTCAAGAGACAAAGACTGAATCTTTTTCCAACAGCTGGTTATATTTTGACGAAAACTGGAATCATATAAAAGTGAGAGAAATTTAGCCTTGAGGCGCTAGATTTAGTTTCGGTTTCTCCTGTTTGTTCTTTTTGGGCTAAATACCCATATTGGTATTTTAATTCAACCCCATTTCCCAACAAGGTATTTTAATTAGGAAATTCGGCGATAAGACATTTTAATTGAATAAAATTACCATTTAGGTCCTTTTTCTCGTCGGCGGCCAATTTTCCGGCGAGAACTCATCACGTGCGTTGCACGTGGGGCTTAATATGTGTTTAATATGCTGATGTGGCTCTCTATTCTGACGTGGAAGAGTGTTAAAATCTAGACTCTCTCTCTCTCTCTTACTCGCTCTTTCTCTCTCCTAGGGTTTCATCGTTCGAGATGAGAAAAGAAACCCCAGCACTGACCCCTTCATCATCTCAGAAGCAGAAATCTCCTCTCTGTAAGCAAGCCCTTGGGGCTCAAGAGCAAAAGCCCTCTGCCTCCCAGGCCTCCGTCGAACCCTAGGGGCAATCCTCTCAAGAGGAAGCTCACTTTGGAAACCCTAACCGAGGGTGGATCTCCAGCTTCGGTTCCATCGGTCTCATAGGAAGCTCACTTAGGGGATTTCGACTGAATTGCTAAAAAAAACCCTAGTTTACAGAACTTAGAATGGAGGATTAGTTGATTTTGGTAGTAATTTCCCTTAATTTGTGGTTTTCTTTGAATTTTTATTTGATTAGGTGATACAGAGCCACATCAGCTTTACTAGCATGTTCATAAATAGTTAAAAAAAGATTTTCTTATTTTGGCAAAATTTTTAACAGATATTCTATATATTTGTAATGTAAATTGTACAAGTAAAGCTATATCTAATTCTTGGTGAAAATAAAATAATGGATAAACATGTTCCAATAAGTCAACAAATTATAAGAATTGTCGCAACATGTTGAAATTGAGGTATTAAAATATAAATACATCCACCGCTTCAATGGCCGACTCTTACGCGTAACTCTGTTGTGTGACCATATGGATTAAAATATTCATGTAAATGTCCCAACTCAATATCTAAATATTAAAATGTATAAGAGCCTACATTAAAATATTAAACAATGTATACAACTCAAAGATGATCATGTGAGTTAGATACTAAAATATTGGCTAAATACCCATATTGGTATTTTAATTCAACCCCATTTCCCAACAAGGTATTTTAATTAGGAAATTCGGCGATAAGACATTTTAATTGAATAAAATTACCATTTAGGTCCTTTTTCTCGTCGGCGGCCAATTTTCCGGCGAGAACTCATCACGTGCGTTGCACGTGGGGCTTAATATGTGTTTAATATGCTGATGTGGCTCTCTATTCTGACGTGGAAGAGTGTTAAAATCTAGACTCTCTCTCTCTCTCTTACTCGCTCTTTCTCTCTCCTAGGGTTTCATCGTTCGAGATGAGAAAAGAAACCCCAGCACTGACCCCTTCATCATCTCAGAAGCAGAAATCTCCTCTCTGTAAGCAAGCCCTTGGGGCTCAAGAGCAAAAGCCCTCTGCCTCCCAGGCCTCCGTCGAACCCTAGGGGCAATCCTCTCAAGAGGAAGCTCACTTTGGAAACCCTAACCGAGGGTGGATCTCCAGCTTCGGTTCCATCGGTCTCATAGGAAGCTCACTTAGGGGATTTCGACTGAATTGCTAAAAAAAACCCTAGTTTACAGAACTTAGAATGGAGGATTAGTTGATTTTGGTAGTAATTTCCCTTAATTTGTGGTTTTCTTTGAATTTTTATTTGATTAGGTGATACAGAGCCACATCAGCATATTAAACACAGATTAAGCCCCCACGTGCAACGCACGTGATGAGTTCTCGCCGGAACAGTGGCCGCCGACGAGAAAAAGGACCTAAATGGTAATTTTATTCAATTAAAATGTCTTATCGCCGAATTTCCTAATTAAAATACCTTGTTGGGAAATGGGGTTGAATTAAAATACCAATATGGGTATTTAGCCGTTCTTTTTGCGACTTGGATTTGGGCCCTAAGGGCCATCCGAATAAAAACGCACAAACACACGACGTCCAGCCGATCTACTAATTGAAAATCAACTGTGATAATTTTCATTTGACTAAATAAATAACGAGGCTGCTCATTTGCAAACAAAATTTTAATCTAAAGCAACATTCACGACTTACTTGAAATCGCACTCTCCGAATAATAATTTGGATATTCACAGTTTATTTGAGAGCAACTATGACGCAAAGTCATGGAATATCTTCTTTTGCCTGTGCGTATACAACTATGCCGCAAAAATACACGAAAAAAAATTACACGAAAACAACCCCCTCGATGTCGAGAGAAAACCCACGTACTGTGATAAAGAACAACTTCCGCTATAATAACAGCAGAAATACAAAGTTCTCTCAAAATACTAGGTAACCAAAACTATGGAATGAATTATTAAAAAGAATACTAACGAAATGGGGGGGTTTTTTTTTTTAACATTGGATTTAGTGATAGAGGCGTGTCAAGGTTCCCTATGCATTAGGACGATCATGACGATGTGCTTTATCATCTCATAACAAAACTAATAATTCAGCTCTTAAGATTGACAAATCATCCATCTGTTTTTGTCTTTTTCCTAGTCAGCAGAGCAATGTTTTTACATGAAACTTGCGCGTACCATGGGGACTCACAAGCTGCAGCAACAGCCAGTGAGAGAGCAACACCAGCGGTAACAACAACCACAACATCCTCAACATCCAAAAGTCATCAGCAGCGGTCGTTATCCCCAAAGGAAGTAACCCTTCACCATCAAAGAATTATGAGGAATCATCGCAGAATAATGTCTTACATAAAATCTAAAAATTAAAAATTAAAAAAAAAATTAACATTGAACAAGCATGGTCCTAATTACCTGGACCAGTACCACCGCATCAATGCCTCTCTCTTCCAAAAGCTTTAGGAGCTGCTCTACTAATATAAGCAAACTTTTAACCAAGCAATTTATAGCTAAAGAGTACAGAGTTCACTAGAAAACATAAACTCGCACAGCGATGAAGAAGAATACCCTCCCTCTAACCCAAGTGCAGCAGCAGCACCTTAACTATCCTACCACTAAAATTTAAACAAGCACCGTCATCCAATCCGCAAACAAAATACAATCTTAATATTACTGCTTACAGAAAGAGAAACTAATCTGTATTGACTATATAGCCTAGTATTCCATTTTCACAATGGTGGTACTTGACGGTGCCTCCGTCATCGTTGGCAAGTACTGGAGCCAGTCCTTGGCACAGAAAAGGGCCTCCACCGTCTCAGGACGCAATGAACTCCTGTACTCATCGAGCACTCTGCTTCCAGTTCCTATGCCAAATACCGAAGACCCAGGACTCGCCATGGACATTGGAATCGCAAGAACATCCCGAGCCATCTTAGACAACATTGGATACTTTATAGTGTTTAGCTTCCACCAGTTCAAGATATCAAACTCTTGGATTCTCGGTACAAGGGCCTCTTCCAAGTACTGCTCTATCTCTGGCTTTGTGTTTTGGTTAACAGAAATTTCTGATATATAGATATCAAAATCAAGTAGCCCATCTGCAGTAGACATTGGGGTCGAAGGCTGATTGTTTTCATTGCCATTCATAGTGTTGTGTGCCTCCCCTCCTCCTTGTTCTTCATAAGCCGGGGTCAAGGGAAGTGGCTGGGAAGCATATTCATGATAAAGCTCGTGAATGGCATCGTTAACCACCTTGACATATCTTCCAGCTTCTTCACCATAGAGTTTTGAAAAACTGAACTCAACGAGCTTCATCTTGAACCGTGGATCCATAACCACTGCAATTGCCAATACAAGACTACAATCTTTCCAGTATTTGTCAAACTTTTCATCCATCTCTCTCGCGATGCTACTGATCACGATATCATCACTTAACATAGCATGACTCAGCTCCATCTGAATCTTCCATGCTTCCTGGAAAAACATATTAGATGTAGGATCTGCTGTCGCCATGATGACATTGGCGGAGTCATACAACAGCTTCAGAAATGTGCAAACCACTTCCACTTTCCTCCAATCCTCAGGAGACGGTGCCTCGTTGTAGTGGTCGTCACAAGTTTCCAATACAATAAATGCTTGCTTATACTCCAAGGCAGCAACCAGCATATGGTACGTAGTGTCCCACTGCATTGCAACATCAAGGGACAGGCTCTTGGTGCTTGGAATCTCAAGCTGGAGGGCAATCTCAGCAAATTTCTCTTCACGGCCTGGAGACGCTTTGACAAACTTCACACTCTCACGAATGTTGTAGATGATACCATGTATGGAGGCTATTACATCCTGAGCAACCACATTCAAGATATTGGCATAGCAACGAACAACGAACAGCTGACCTTTGAGCATGAGCATGTTCTTGTTGGAAAGATGATCTCTGAGATTTGCACTGTAAATATCATGCGATGAGCAATTGTTATCCAAAGTGATAGTGAACAGCTTGCTCTTCATATTCCATTCTGAAAGACTTATGCCAATGACTTCACTAAGAGCATTCTCTGAATGAGGGGAGGATACCATCATGAAGTTTAGCATCCTTCTGTGCAACTTCCAATCGCTGTCAATAAACTGTCCATTTAGGCACACGTATCCAAGAGTCTGACTAGTTGTCCACAGGCATATCGTGAGGCTAATCCTTCCAGGAAGAGATCCAAACACGTGCAGCAGGTTATGCTTTTCCTTCTGATAAACCGTGTAGATTTCTCCTTCGATTTCATTAAAGCTTGGCATCCTGAACCTGGGCTGAAGACTTTGAGCAAAAGCCACTACTGCAGGTTGCTCAACCATGTGAAGTGGGTATTCATGGATTATGATCATCTTTGCGAGATTTTCGCAGCTCACATCTTGATCAAATAGGGAATTCAGGGTAGACCTATAACGTCTTCTCGGAGGGTCAGTGATATCTCCGTCAATTTTCATACCAGAAGCAAGTGCAAGCTGTCTCCTTTCTTCACTCTTGATTTTGGGACATGAACCTAGGGCTATGTGCCTCTTAAGATGGCTTGTACCAGCTATTTTTGAACCACTGCTGTATGCAAAAGTCTGCTTGCACAGTTTGCAACACGCTCGCGTACATCCACCAGCCACAGCTTCAACAGTAAAATGCTCCCAAACCAGTGACTTCTTTCTTCTTCGCCTAGCCGTTGGCGCTGTCGGCGTTGGTTCTACTGGTTCTGCCATCTCCAAAGCAAGCTGTTGCTCATTGTCACTGGCCTCACCCATGTTTAAGATGCAATTTCTGCTTAAAAGAACCATACACCAAGACAAATTATTTCAATTTCAAAACAGTAAAAGAAACAGCTGCAGCATAGCAGGAAGGATTGAGAGCTGAGGGAAGCCATTTCCACTTTTTTTTTTCCCCAAAAAACAGAATAGCTGACAGAAATTCACAAAAGGATTTCACAAAAGAAATGTTGCAAAAGCAAGCATTGGCCATTTAAAAGTTCCATGCTTACAAGAATTAGTAAATCAGGTGCAAATCCAACAGAGTATTAACAAGCTTTGAGCTAAACAGGACAGGTTATCAAAAGATTAGGCAGAACATAGATATTATGATCAAAGAAAATGTGGACCATTCCACTTAACAAAAAATTTAAGCAAACAAGATTAGGGACCAGATGGTCATCTATCCGGAAGCAAGAGAAGAAAAAAAGTAAATTAAAAAATTCTTTTTGTTAAAAAAGGTGAAATCTAGCAAAAGCAGAGACGGATAAAACTAGAAAAAAAAAATTTAATCAATTGACAAATTTGGTTCAGCTTACTGAATTCACTCAAGCCGCTCAACAGATCTAAGACCCATGCCGGAGTGTGTCTTTCTTTTAGTGAAGGCATTATATCTTTCTTACCATGAAATGGGCACAAAATTACTTTCCTGACAAATTACCAAATCAAAATATATTTACAAGAAAAATTAATGGCCTTCATATAGCAGTTATCAAAACATCAATACATTATATTTCCTATCCTATGTTACCTGGGTACTTCTAGTCTGATGCCGTACCCCTACCCGACACGTTCCCGAACCCATACTTGTACCCAAACTCCTTAAACACGCCTTGCATATATGCATACATTTACCCAAGCATGTACTCAATTATACAATACATGTTTTAATTTAAAACACTTCTCATACATTTTTTTGGACATATATCCTACGCTTTACATCCAATTCTCGAAACTCGTTGGACATTGGTCAGTTCCGATTTATCGTTTTGAAGGGTCGTTTGGACGTCTAGTTCAAAAACTAGTGATTTTCCAATATATAATTCACATAATAAAATAAACATAAAAATATTATAGGAATTTTAATTCTCATCCTTCTTCTCATATAAATTATTAATTATAATATATAATATGTATGTATACAAAAAAATTTATAGACATGTCCTCATACCCAACCTTTTACAAATTTACTGTGTTCCACACCCGTACCTAGGGGCGGATATACAGTGGAGGCAGTTGCCCCCACTGAGCCCCTAAGTAGTATATTTCAATTTCCCCCATAATGTTTGTTCAATTGACCCCCTAGCCTTGCGGAAGGACTCCGAAGATGTGAATTTGAATGCTAAGATTAAAGACCATCAACTGTTTTCCCTTTGACAGGTCTTTTAATTGGGAAAAATCGTGTCTTTAGCTTGATGAGTTCTCTTAAAAAGGAAGGAGGAAGAGGATGATGAATAGTGATATTCTCCTGCTTTGGAATATATATGTTTGGTGTTTTGTTAAAAGCTTTGGAGACATGAGTCGGTAGCTTTGGTTTCCTTCGTTATTTTTTTTTTAAATGGATGGAAGACAGTGGGGTAATATGAAAGGTTGGATTATGTTTGAGCATAGGATCCATAACTAGAATTCAATTAGCAAGTAAAAGGCTAAATATCATAAAACCACCCTTAATTTTAAAGATTATCAAATAACCCCCTACAACTTTGAAAATATTAAAAAAAACTTAAGTTTAGGGGTTATCAAAAAACCCTTTCTAACTTTAAATTTTTATCAGAAAATCTCCCTTAAAAGCGTCACTAGCAAAAATTTAACCATGTGTATATGCCAAATACATTGTGTTTGAAATTTTGTCCCCACTGACCAAAATTTCTGGATCCGCCCCTGCCCGTACCCATGCAACATAGTAATCCTATCATAATTGAGAATACGACCATGGTTAGTGTTGCATACGTAGCGAACTTTCAAGGTCTCATGCTATCTTCAAATATAGGCATAACGACCAACTGCAGGAAGTATCAGGCGACGGTTAAACCTACCACAGTGTGGGTAAACCGTTGATTACCTTACCCTGACACATTAAATTCATAAATAGTAAAGCATGTTCCTCCATGTATCTAGGCCTTGCTCGTTCCAATTGTCTTTCAGCAACGGCACTGAGTTTAACTACTGACATTAATGAGATACGATCTCCGGAGATCTATTGCCAGACTCTTTTTCTCCTGGACCCTGACTCTTATTTTTTTTTCTCTATTGAAGTTGAGGCCGTTCTTGGCTTTCCCTCGAGTCTCGCTGTCTACATTCTTTCCCAGAAGAACTTCACGCTGTAAAGTGTTATCCTCTTTCTCGCAAGTCTTTTTGTCTTTTCATTCAAAAGCATCACATTCACTATCAGTCATCTCAAGCAGCGAATCACCATGTTGTTAATTGCACGCGAACAGAATGATACATCTACCCCCCAGATAAGGAGCTTAATAAGCCCAGAGCAAACAATGATGTTTAATTTAAACACATTTAGATTCCTCAAACAGCACTAGGATTAAAACTCTGTTCAACCCGCAAACACCAAGCCCCACGAGACCTAATAAACACCAGAGGCTGGATCTTTTGAAGATCTAGTAAACAATTCGACACTGAAACCCGTTCTCGGCCCTAATTAGACAAAACCCACAAGCATATATCAAAGGAACCCATCAATTAGCGGGGGGGAAAAAAATCGATGGGTCTCCTCCCCCCAAAATACCATACGCAAGATCTAAATCAACTAAATCGCAACGAGAACTAATCTAAGCAGATGTTGAACGTACAACAACACAACAAGTAAAAAGCAAAGAGAGATCTCGAGGAATTCGAAAGAAAAAAAAGAAGAGGGCTACAGGGTTTAAAGGGGTTTTATAAAATATACCAGAGGCTGGATCTGGATCTGCTCTGATCTGAGACCGGAGAGAGAGATCTGAGGCCTGCGAACGAAAAAGCCCTAAAAATTTTTTGAGTCCTGATGGTGGGCTAAAGAGGGGAACTGGATTGGGTTTCAAAGGGAAACGAAACCCTAATAACGAAAAGAGGGCGAGAGAGAGAGAGAGAAGACTTTTTATTTTTTTGGGGGGCAGCGGAGCGACGTAATTTTTTTTGTTAAGGGGGTCGGCTTTTGATGGGCTAGGTGGCCCAAAATACTGGGCTTTATTAGATTGGTACTGGGACTTGCAAGAGACACGTGTACGGCTATCATGGGATTTGGGGGCCAGGGAGAGGACACCACCTCAGTGTGTTGACATTGGGCCTCTTTTATAAGCACGGACCCTAAATAAAAATTAATCTTTCTTGTCGTAGATAGACGTTTATCTTAGTGGATAGAAAAATCATATATATATTACATATAGTTACAATCAATCGGTGAGGTAAGATTTCTTAGTGGATAGAAAAATCATACATATATTTTTCTTGAAGTCAGGAAAATATGATGGGGTACTAGGAGTAAAATAGAATAAGCTTATAAAGTTGATAGGAATGTTGTCCGCCAATTGTTTTTCGTTTGAAAAATGATAGGGACACACCCCTAACCACACCTCTAACCACATCTCATCTCTCATTTGCTACAGTGCACCGGTCCCACATCGAATTTTAAATTTTTAAAATCTCATGTGGGACCCGGTGCACTGTAGCAAATGAGAGATGTGGTGTGGTTGGAGGTGTGGTTGGGGGTGTGCCCCTAGTGCCACCCTTTTCGTTTTCATTGACTCCGTTTGGAGATCCGTGCTATATATTAAGTCTATTTATGATATTTATTTCTTGATGGGTATCATATGCTAGCAAAATCTGAAAATACAATAATGAATAAAAAAAGCTGATAAATGACGGGTTCTTATTCATTTAATTTCGCAAGAGCTTTACTCCGATACAAGAATATATAAAGAAGTTCAAACATCATGTTTTTAGTATAAAGAATGGGTAATACTAACTATACTACAAATACTAAATTACAATTCTACTACAGATGAAAAAATGTGGAATATTTAATTACTTGTAACTTTTGATAGCAATTTACGAGAAAGGGACGCATACTTTCGTGTTTTATGTATAAAAGCAGTTTGAGGTTCATGGTCTAGTTTGGAAAGGATTGCAATTCTATGCCAGATAGGTTGAAGGGTTGTTCTGTAGATCATAGAGTGGGATGAAATGACTTTACTATCCTCATACCCACTCATCGATAATGTAGACCCATCGCTGTGTATGTAGGTGGTTTTAAGGGGATGTGTACTCTAGTATCATCATAAAATGCGTTTTCTTGTACAAAACTTTAGGTTTTTTTTCTTCTTAAAACCACGTTATATTTAGGGTCAATTTATATAAATTGCCTTATATTTCCAATTTATATCTAAAGCACTTACAAAGTCAGTTTTTCTTCTAATCAACCACCTAATTAATTCCACTTTGCGACTAATTTTTTTTTGCTAAAATTCTAGCAATATCCTCACTTAATCTCATGTGGAAAGTTGGCCAAACATTAAGAGAGGTCACATGCTTTATACGTGAGATTAAGTGAGGATATTTTTGGAATTTTAGGAAAATTCTAGCAGCAAAGTGATATCAGGTGGTCAATTAGAAAAAAAAACTAATTTTGTACATGATTTATACATAAATTAGAAATATAATGTGGTTTACAAAAACTGACCCTAAAGTGCTTTCGAGGAAGAAGAAAACCCAAAACTATAAAGGCATAGTAACATGCTAAGGTTTATAATAACTTAGTACGCTACTAAGAAAATTAATTTTATCTAGTTACCAACGTTGTGTAGTTTTGCCAAAAATAAAGGCATCTCCATTGTAAAGTACAAGGTTTTGATAGCACAGACCAATGTTTAAAAAAAATGTGTTACTTAATGTGTTTTAACGCATTTTATAACTTAATGTGAGCTCGTTGCTATATAAACCGAGGATATAACTCATATGCAATTTAAGCAAGCATTTTTGAAAAATAGCAACAAAAAAAAAAGCATTTTAACGCATTCCCTGTTAATGCAAAACAACCATTGATAGATCCCTAAGATCTATGGACAACTAGATTTAATATCCACTGGTCATTTTTTCCTGTGGATCTCATATCTCTTCATTTCTCTCAAAATCTAAATCCGTAGCTCAAACAAAACCCTAGACCGATGACAACGAATATCTCTAGCTTTGACTTCGACCTCCATCATTTGACGATGTTATCCATTGATACGAGTAGCCGAGCGAGCACCTTTGATCGCGGAATTATCAAAGGTGAGTTTTGAGAAGAAGACAGTAAAACACACAAAACAATTCAATTGGCGAAAGAAAATACTTTCTCTAGATTATGAAGAATAAAAGATTACAAAATCTCTCTCTCACAATCTCTCTAGAATAAAGAACAACTTCTCTATCCTCACTAAACTCTAATCTCTTGATTAAAATCTCTCCTCTCATGTTTAGAAACCCTAAACAATCCCTATTTATAGGTTAAACAACGTGGGTGGCAAAATGATAAATACCCAAGTCAAACCCAACTAGAATTCGTCTCAAAACAGAATCCAAATTGGCACAGGAAAACCTCATCGATCGACCGACATGCCTAGTTCAGTTGACCGACCAGAAACTGAGGAAACTCTTGAGCTCCTCCTTCCTTGTTGAACCACCTGGCTTTGCTAGAAGCCTTACCTTGACGTCCAATTAGAAATGACTCATTCGTCCCCCATCTCGTCGTAGTCGCCTTTCGCTTCAAATTACAATCCTCTTTTAGTGGCTCTTCATAAGGCCTAATGAACATCGAGACAAACTTCTTGCTTATATTCACTAGCCTCTTCGCTCGGTTCACCATCACTAAGTTTTTCTCCTTCGAAAGAGATGTTGAACGAAATATGAACTTCTCACCGTCTATGGTGAATGTGTACTTCTGAGACCATCTTTCGTAGCTCACGTATTTATCCTACAAATACGGATTGCCCAGTATAACCTAACAAACATCCAATGGAACTACGTCGCACATGACCTCGTTAATATACGACTAGTGGTGTGCAAATCTAAAAGTGCATTGATTAACTACACTCAGTCCCGTCTCCTTCTAAATCCACCCTAATGGATAGGACTTTGAATGCTTGATCGTCTTCAGACTCAGCTTCTGAACCAAGGCCTCGAATATCAAATTCTTCTTGCTGTCTGGATCAACTATGACATCCACTAAACTAGTCTTCACCTACAACTTAAGAATAAAGAGCTGCTCTCTGGGGTCTTCGTCCTCCTTCATGGCTTGGTTCCCTGCCATAAGGTTAAGACTGCTGTGGGCTCCCTAGGACTTCTTTTGTTTCTTATGCTATCACGTATGCATTTTTTCCTTCCTTCTTCTTCAACCCCTTTAGCTTCAGATGACGATACTTCTCCCAGCATCGATCAGCAACATGTCCTGTCTTCTCATAATGACTACAAATTAGTCCTGCTTTTCCTGGATCACCCTTCTTCTTTTTCTTCTTAGGTTGGGAACCACTAGACTCACCTCCAGCTTGTTTGACATCCCCCTTTGTCTCGTTGCCTTTCTTCTTCTTTCCCTCAATAGCAATAGCCTTTACTCTCGCCTCTACAATCGACTCAACCATGAATAGCTTCATCTCCTTCCGGATGTATTCATTCAAACCCGCCATATACTTCATAAAGACTGAGTACTCCTCTATCGCAATGTTGAGGACCATCGTTTGTTGTTGAAACTCAGTCGTGTATTCTTGAACGGTTTGATTGAATCTTTAGCGTAAGCCATACCACTTGTACCAACGCTTTTCAAGGAATCCTATCGGGTAGAACTACTTTCTTAGCAACTCCTTGAACTTGTTCAAGGACACTGGTTTCTTCTCCTGCTTGCAATAGGATTTCCACCACGTCAACACGTGCCCTGAAAGCTTCATGTCGCAAAATGATCTTCTCTTTTGACGAATAGCCATAAAGAGTAAAATAAGTCTCCATACGCTCGATCCAATCATCAAGCTTTTCGATGTTAACACTCCCATCATAAATAGGAATCTCTACTCTGAAATCAATCTTCAGATTTTGGTAAGAACCTTTACCTCATTGTTATGGAATAGTCTTGACGGCCTCGATCTCCTCGTCGGAATCTGAATTCTCACTGCTCCCATAGGTTTCTTCTTGGGCCCCGTCGAAGGTTCACCTTTCTTATCACCTCCATGGATGAGATCGACGAGTTTTATGAGAGTCAAACTGATTGTCTCGATCTGTTTTTCTATCGCATCAAGCCTCGATGAATTGTCGCTTTCTGTCATCTTTTTCTTCCTTGATTTATGGGCTTCTTCCAAAGAAACAAGAATCTTGCCTAGCTTCTTGTATTGTGATCGAGTAAGAACCATACACAGGATTGCCCCCTTCACAGGATCCAATTACTCTTATACCAACTTGATACGAGTCGCCGAGTGAGCATCTTTGATCATGGAATTATCAAAGGTGAGTTTTGAGAAAAAGACAGTAAAATACACAAAACTATTCAATTGGCGAAGGAAAATACATTCTCTAGATTATAAAGAATAAAAGATTATAAAATCTCTCTCTCACAATCTCTCTAGAATAAAGAACAACTTCTCTATCATCGCTAAACTCTAATCTCTTGATTAGAATATCTTGATTAGAATCTATTCTCTCATGTTTAGAAACCCTAAACAATCACTATTTATAGGTTAAACAACGTGGGTGATAAAGTGGTAAATACCCAAGTCAAACCCAACTAGAATTCATCTCAAAACAGAATCCAAATTAGCCCAGGAAAACCTCGTCGGTCGACCGACATGCCTGGTTCGGTCGACCACCCAGAAATAGGTTTTCAGACCCTGTAAGGTATCCGTTTTCAGTAGACCAACAATGAGCGATCGGTCGATCGATTTTGCTTCCCCGGTCGACCGGCCAGGGCCTGATTCTCCAGCTTCCTGATTTCCTCTGTTTTTCTTCTTTTGGCTGTTTTTGCTGCCACCAACGGTTCCACCCACGCTTCTATTCTCAAGCTACATGAGAATCATCAATTTTTAAGCTCTTATAAGGATCGATAAGCTCCCGAAGTAAGAAAAAAGATACACCCGTATCATCCATCCATGACTTCGACTTTGACTT